TGACTCGGACTCGGGACTGAGTTGAATGGGCAAAGGACAAAGGTCATTCCAAAGGTCTTCAGTCTCTGTTACTTTGCTTTTGTTTTCAGCTTCGGTGTTAATCCTGTGAATCTTTGGTTTTAACGTTCCGTTTTCATGCTTTGTGCCAGGGCGCTTTGGCAAAAGCTTCTCACTCTGCACAAGAAGGCAGCAGATAGGGAACAAACACTGAAAGCTGGCAGGGACCTGCTGGTGACTGCCCAGGACTTTCTCTCGTTGGACAGTCTCGATGGTGTGGAGATCGAAGAGGTGAAGCAAAAGATCAGTGTTGTTCCTGAAGTTGCACGCCTTATTTCGGAATTGGAGGGTGTGGGGGGTTCTGCGGTGGACCTTGTCAAGGATTTGAAGGACATGCAAGAGAAGCTTCATTCATGGGCAGAGACCAAACTCCATCCGGACTTCGACAACTCCTTGAAGCAGCTATCCGATCATGTGGCAGGTCAATTCGTAACCTCGGGCGATGTCAAACCAGTGGAACTTTATCAAGGACAGCCTCCAACCCTGCCAGCGCAGATTGATGGTTGGTTCTTGCTACGCTGTTTCTTGGCACACATGCATGCCGCATGCCACATGGTGCACAATATGCCTCCAGAAAGCCTAGCCTGGCCTAGTCGCATATATATAGTCTGACACGGTCGGACGGTCCATAGCTTTGTGGTGAATGATTTTTTGCCTAAGGGGAAGTTTGGGAAGCGGGGCCAGCGGCCAATACATTTAGGTTAAACCAGCCCTTTAATATGTCATTCAATTCAGTTACAGTATTCAATTCTGTAATTCAGTCAAAGTGCAGTCGTTTTTTCACCAAGTCTTTCTTTTGGAGTCGTCCGTCTTCACTTGTTGCCCAAGCTTCAGGCTTCTTTCACCGGAAGCAATCGAAGCTGGACACTGTCAGGGCTGTTTGCTGTGGAGTTATGCAGGAGTTTTGCACACGCGTCACATGTGAGGCTGAGAAGATGGTAGGAAAGGACGGAATGGCCATCCTTTTCCATTTGTGCCAGTTTTCAGCTGAGTGCAAACAAGTCTGCACAGAGGTACTCGGAAATTGCCAGCTTGCAAAGGGGGAAGATGCTACTGGATGTGAGAAAGCAGCTCAAGCGATTTTGGACCTGCTCAAGCGGATGGAAGATGTGTTCTATGACAAGGTCATTGCCAGCATTGCAAAGAAGGAGTTTGGAGCCAAAGAACTGAAGGCCTGTATGGCCTCTGTGCCTGTGCCGCTACAGGGGGCCATGCAGGTGCTTGAATTGGACTGGAACTCCGAGCTCAGCAAGCTAAAAGATGAGCCGGGGAACGGGAAGATACCGTGGATTCTGTCAATGCTCAACACCTTTGAGACTGCAAACGCAGGAGCTACTTCAAGAGTCCTTGAGGATGAGGTGTTCTCAGATTGCCGCCAGAACTGCAAGGAGTATTCCAGCAAATTTGTGATGATGCTCTCCCAGATCTTGGAGCATGAGGCGCGCATGTCGATGCTGTTGGTCTCCGCCTTTAGTGACAAGTTCAAGGAGATGGAGGAGTGTGCGGAGACTCTAGATACCAAACCGGTATCATGGATGTTTGATGATGAACATGAGCAAGAGATTGCTGGAGACATCATGCGCCTTGAGGGTGGCATGAAGAAAGCCAACTCCTTTATCAAAGGCTTGCAGCCGTTGGTAAACCATGTCACAGCTTCCAGCATGTTGCCGGCTGTGATCACCACAGCCTCTTCCAAGCAAGCAGAAGTTCGCGACAAGGCCAGCACAGCAGCGAGGCTTGCCACACTCCTCGCCTTCGTTGACCTCACCGTAGATGGCGACAAAACCAAGAAAGAAGTTGATGAGCTTGAGAAGTACACTCAGAAGGTGTTCGGCTTTGACAGAACTGTTCTTCCCAGCCGCGCGAGCGATGCCATTGCAGAGATTTCAAAACGCCTTCCAAAAGCCAGCAGGAAGCCTGATCAAGCTGGCAAGGAGAAGAAAGACAAGAAGCCGGAGCGGAAGGTCAAGGAGAAAACAGAGAAAGGGAAAGCAGAGAAGGGTGAGAAGGCGTCATCGTCTCGGCCTACAAAGCACCGTGCTGATGAAGCTGAAGGTGGTTCAAAAGCTAAGAAGGCCCGCAAGTTGAAGTCTTAGGCTGGCACACAGAGTGGCCAGACTGACGGCCCTATCGGCTGTAGGCTATGCAATGCTATGGCCTATGGCCTGTGGCTTCTTCATACCAGCCAGCCTGTAACATGCTGATGAGCACTGTGGAATGCAAACAGTGGAAAAGCAGGATTGCATGTGCGTGCGCCTTCAGAAACCAGTGGCGTTGTCCAATCAATAGCGGCCAAAAGCCTGACACATAATAATGGACTCCCTACATTGTCACCGTCCTCCCTCTCCCACAGGCTTTATTGGTTGGTCAGGGATTCAACCCTGGCGATCTGGTATGGACCGATGGTCTTGACTATTCCGGCAGAACAAAGCTGGCAGGCAAGTGGGTGGTGTGGGTCAGGTGTAAACTAACTTGAGTCAAGTAACTTGAGTCCTGGAAAAAAATAGTTTTTGGTCCTGGAGTCCTGGACCTAATCTCTATGTCAAAGCTCAGTCTCAAAAGTTTGCTTTCTATTGCATTAAATTATATTGCATTCACCATGGCCATTGCGCAAACCTCACCAGCAGGAAATGCCATGACTACATCTGTGGTTGGAGCTGTTGTCACCGGCCTCTTGATATATGCCCTTGCATTGGGAAAGCATGGCCAGCAACTTGGCTTTGTCTGAGACAAACAAATTGGTCAGTGAAATTCCGGACATGACCTCGTGAGGTAAGAAAGAAACCAGTAAGTAAACCTTTAGATAATTAGATAAGAACTCATAATTCTGGATGACGCGTGCTGCTTGCTGAACTGTGTTTGTGTGTTCTTTGGGAATAGGCAATCCCAAATGAGGGGTCATGAGACTCGCGATTCGTGATTATACTGCGACGATTAAGTAATTGATAGATTGATAGATGAGACTGACTCCTAAATAATACTAGTAATAGTAATTAATACTAGTACTAATACTAAGCATTTGGCACAAGAGACCTCCAATTTTGTTGAGGCAAGTCTGGTTTCAATTGCCCGTTTGCAAGCCGCATACATCCGATCCTGAAGATGGTGAAGATGCTGAGAGAAGTGAACCTGAATCCGATTGTTGTGCGTCGGACCCCAGCAGCGAGTCTTCAACGCTGATTTTGGGATGTGAGAACATTCCAAAAAAGAGGCGCCCACGGAAGCTTGTGCACGTGACTGAGCTACTCTCAGACTCAGACTGAAAAAAAACTAGACTGGACTAGACTACAGATACACTGAACTTAGGCTAGGTACTTACTTACTTATCAACTTTGTTGCATGTGCACTTGAGAAAAAAAGAGAGAGAGAGAGAAAGGGGAGTCTGAGAGAGTAAGGGCGTTGGATTTCCAGGCTGGTTTGAACAACTGTCAATAGCTCATGCTTGAGAGACCCTGTGTTGTTGCAGCAGCCCTGGATTTTTTGACTGGTTGGAGCTGTGGTTCCATGGCCAGTTGGAGCTGTGGTTTGGCTTGATGGCTCACGACTCGCGACTCATAAAACACTCCACTCACTACAGAACTCTTGACTCTTGACTGTATAGACTGTGGACAATGGACAATGAACGAATCCCAGTGTGTGTGTGTGTGCGCATTTTGGTCCAGAGTCCAATGCCAACGACAGCTAGGGCAGCACTTGACTGAGAGCAAGAGACTTCACAGAGCCAAGTTCAAAAGGGTTTGTGTTGGGTGACAGATGATGGACATGTTGCGTTGCTTGGACGTTTTCACATGTTTGAAACTGTATGCTGCCGTGGTTGCTTTTTTTGTTCCTAGACGATCCCAGCTTGCAATTGTGTGACAGTGTGAGCAATGAGTGAGTGTGTGCTCCAGTAGGGTGGTCCGGGTGGCAATGATGGATGTTTGTAAACAGTGTGTCGAGCCCACACTTGGGAATTGAATCTCATCTACTGTCCACTCAGTGCTTTGTTTTCACACTATTTGCAGCTTATTGGCACAGGTAGAAAGACAGCAGGTAGACTGGTAGCGGTACGACAATAGACTTAGTGTCAGTGTTCCATCCTGCCATGGAATTGGAAACCCTAATTCTGGTAACCGTTGCTTTCAACGTCCTGATCACCATGCTGCTTTCAGGGTGCTTGGGAAATAGAGGCAAGACTTTGGGAGCCCAGGTCAGAGTCCACTCTGGCCACTCTTGTGAGATTGAGCCTGAGCACATGAAGATCATGAAGCTCCAAGAAGAGCTGACTCGATACAAAGAACGAGTTTCGAGTCTTCAATCCGATCTTTTGTTGTTACAAACAGTCGTTGAAAACAAGAAGGCTTACTTTTGCCCAAGCGGCACTGTTTGGCATTCGAAAAGTGATTGTGCTGAGTGCCGATCCCGTGGACATGTCCAAGAGCGACGTCCATGCAAGTTCTGTGTCAAATTTGGAAAGCGTGATTTTGAAATTGACCAGTCTGGATGACATTGGTCTTGGCCTGGCTAAGATAGATCTTAGATAGGCGATATATAGAGGCGGCCATTAGAGGACATGCTGGCTGCTGGGGTTACGCTGGGAGTGTGCGATGAAAATGTGTGCTGAGATTTCCTTATTTTTGAGATTTGTTGAGAATCCGAGTCTCTCGGCGGATGTTTGGGATATTAGCAGTGGACCTTTTCCAGTGCACATGTTTTTCAATATGTCAGCCTTGTTTCCAACACTCCTTTTAAACATCCATGGAATCCATTCTGAAACCACTCCCAACATCTTGCTGCAATAACCCTTGCACTTCATCACTTGCAACATTGTTTCCAACATCACTTCCAACATACCTTCCAATGTAGCCCCCCCTAGCCCCAACATTCCACAGACAAAGAGGCTAATAACAGCTATAATCTCGGGGTATTTTGTTTCTTTTATTTTTGGCCCAAGATGCCTTAAGGTGAGGTTGCAAAGCTTCTTCAAGCTGGCAGATGTCTACTTGTAGATCTTCGTGATGGTGACCGCAATGTGGGAACCATCAATGGTGCCATCAATGTGCCAGCCATCAAGCGCATCAACGACACAGTGACTTTACCATTCTTCACGGAGCGCCTTGGGCCTTCAGATTGATCCAAAGTGTATTTTTTACCAATGGACAACCACAACATAAAGAGCTGTACAGTTGGGCTTTCGACGTACTTGAGTCTGCTGGTGCTTATTTCCTGCCCGGCGGATGTGTTGTTTATTGGTTCAAGTATATGTTTTCATTTTCACGGACCAGCATGAAATGTCAAAGCAAGGATTCAGAAGTATGCCAACCAATGGGCCCAGTTCCCATTGG